AATAAATACAATTAAACCCAATTAAATCAAGCCCTTCAAATAAATGTCTTTCACATAGTTCTTCCAGATAACTCTCTTTAAAATATAATTTTCTCAAATAATTATTTTTCTAATATAATTTTTCCAATAAATCTTTTCAAATATAATTTCCTCAAATAAATAGCTTTCAAAATATAATTCTTTTATATAATACTTTCTAAGTAAAAATCCTTCCAAATAAATATTTTGAATATAATTCTTTCAGTTAAAAAGTCACCATGTGACACCTCATTTCAAAATCATCAAAATACGGGTCTCAGTCCATTTTTATATTTTTCGTATATACGAGTCTCAGCCCATTTTCAAAATTCAACGGCACCTCGTACCCATAATTAAATCATCATATCTGACCGACACCTCGTGTCCTCATTTCATATCGCAACTGCACGGACAATTCACGTGCCAGATATCATTATCATTTTATCACAGTACCTCGTGCCGACATTTTATATCATAACTGCACGGACAATTCACGTGCCACTATCTCCATTTCATATCACAATTAACGATACCTCGTGCCCACATTTCATTTTATAAACCACCTGGAAATAGGCACATGCTCCCAATTTCAATATAAATCAGATTATTATCAATTTACCAACAACAAGACAAGTTGCATAATGTATAAAAATAAACATAACAAAATCACAACATCATATGAAAATTGTCAACACCACAACCCCACATCATCACATATTATCCCTGACAATAGCCACCCTTATCGCTCCTATTGCCACCCTTATCGCTCCGCCCATACAATATTCCAACAAACACAACAGTGAAATGCCACCCTTATAACCACATAATATAAACGGTGAAATGCCACCTTTATCTCCCCAAAATAAAAATTCACACAACACAATAATTTACACGAGAAATTATCACAACAACATAATAAAATTAATTCATATCACAATTTTCCCAATGGCCACAACCAAATTCCAAAGATATGACAAAATCAATTAATTTCACAACAAATAGTCCAAGGCTCCACACAATGTATATAACACCCAAAAACAATCAATATAGATAGAAATTACTCAACATAAAGCAAAGTCTTCATTAAATTTAATTTTTAAATAATTATATAAATACCACTTCTTAAGCTCATTTAATTAATTATTTGCAGGGGAAAATTCATATTGGAATTAATTTCCAAGAAATATTAAACCAACAATATTCACGAAATTTCATAAATATTTCAAGGAACAATCACATCAAATTATCATATAAAAACAAATTCAACAATAAGGATTTAGGCATGGCAAACAGATGATTTAATAATTTTCCACAATTTCCCAATTTACTACACAAAAATGCCTAAGACTTTAATTCAATGAATTTTTGTACGTACTTGTCACATCGCGTACACGACTTTCACATTTCACAAATGGCACATAAGACTCAATGCCCAAGGGGTAATTCCCCCACTCGAGGTTAAGCAAAACACTTACCTTTTTGAAGTTATGCCGATATTCCAAAATAGCCTCTTGCTTGAATTGACCTCCGAACAGCTCAAATCTATCCAAATTAGTTGTAAAACTTCATTAAAATTCATATGAAACAATTCCGGATAATAATGCGTCGACTTAAAATTTTATTCCAAAAAGTTAACAAAAGTCAATACGGGGCCCGCCCCTCGGAACCCGACAAAATTTTCATGAAATACGAACACCCATTCCGATACGAGTTCAACCATACCAATTTTATTGACTTCCAATAACAACTCGACCTCCAAATCTTAAATATTCGTTTTCAAATCCCTAAGTTTAAACTCCCGATTTACACCTCAAAAACATGTAATCTAATCAGATTATTCACTGATAATTCAATATTATGGAGTAAAAATGATCACAAGGGACTTACCTCAAGTTTTCCCGTTAAAACCTTGCTCAAAAATTGCCCAACCCGAGCTTGAAATGCCCAAAAATGGCAAAAGCTCGGAACCCCTCTGTTTTTGTATTGCCCAGGGGTTTTCTCATCCGCGGTAATTTTTTCGCACCTGCGGCTTTCGCATCCGCGTCAAATTTTTCACACCCGCGGCCTTCGCATCCGCGGTAAAGTTTTCGCACCCGCGGCTAATTTTTCGCACCCGCGACAAATTTTTTGCACCCATGGTGCCTGGCCAACCCATGAATTTTCCGCTTCCGCGACTCATTTCTCGCATCCGCGAGCTCGCACCTGCGGCCCTTTTCGCGCAGGTGCGATCATACCAGATGCCCAGCTACTTCAACTCCTCCTCCAAATCCAAATTCGATCCGTTAGGAATCCAAACTCACTCGAGGTCCCCCGGGACCCCAACCAAACATACCATAAAGTCCTAAAGCATCATACGAAGTTAGTCAAATTCTAAAATTACATCAGACAACATCAAAACGACGAATCGCACCTCAAATCAAAATCTATGAACTTTGAACTTTCAAATTCTTTATCTTGTGTCGAAACACATAAAATCAATTCGGAATGACTTCAAATTTTGCACACAAGTCATAAATGTCATAACTGAACTATTCAAATTTTCAGAATCCGATTTCGACCTCGATATCAATAAGTTAACCCGGTCAAACTTCCCAAAAATTCAACTTTCGGCATTTCAAGCTTAATTCCACTACAGAACTCCAAATAATTTTCCTGACATGCTGTTAAGTCCAAAATCACCATACAGAGCTATTGACATCATCAAATATCTATTCCGGAGTTGTTTTCTCAAAATTCAACTCTCCGGTCAACCCTTTCCATTTAGGCTTCAAATTAAAGATTGTTCGTTTAATTTAATTCCGAATCTTTAGTAAATCAAACTCGACCACACCCGCAGTTGATAATACATATTGCGAAGCTGCTCGAGACCTTAAGTCATTGAACGAGGCGTAAATTCTTAAAACGACAAGTCGGGTTTTTACAGTAATTGACTTCCGTTTAATTTGAATTGTTTAAAAACGGTTAAGATTATTCTAACGTTGGCTTGCCTAGCAAGTAAAATGTTTGGTGTCATCATGGTACCGAAGGTGGAAATTTCGGGTCGTGACAAATTATTTTGTATAAGTTTACTGACATCTTTAAAATTCACTAGTGTACTTGTGAAAGGAGTACAATAAAGGCTGGAGAATTACTGAATTAGTAAAGGTCCTATAGATCTAAGAAAAAAGAAAAAAAAAGGTCAAGTTGATATATGATTGCTGATTTATTGATTGTTTGAGGAGTAGGTTATAATATTTGACATAAAAAGAAAAACTAAACTAAGAAGAGTGCGTGATATCTCGAATCATAAGGAGATAGCACTTGATATATGTATCTATAAATGCTGATATGATTTTTGTTCTTTTTTCTTTGTCAACGTATCTGAATTGTCATGTTTTCTGGATGAGAAGGTTACGTTTGATATCTCTAATCTTTTATTTTATTAAATGATATAGCATACATCAACTACTCGAAAATATCCAGAAAATATATTAACATAAGTTACTCATAAGAATAAGATTTTAACTCCTCTAAAAGAGGAAGAATAATTAAGAACCCAGGTATCTAAAATAAATATAGTATGAAAGATTTAATTTTTCCAAAATATAAAAATAATATTTATTAATTTAAGGATGGAATGGTAAGTAGAGTCAATCTGATAAAGTGTCACGACTCGAAATTTTCCACCCACGGGATCGTGATGGCGCCTAACATTTCACTTGCTAGGCAAGCCAACGTTAGAAAATCGTTAAACCAATTCCTTATTTCCATTCAGTAAATAACAATAATTAACTAAGATGAAATATAATAGATACGAAATATTATAAAACTGTATTAATCACTGCCACCCGGATCTGGAGTCACAATTCACGAGCATTCTAGAATTTACTACAAGTAATAGCCTGAAAGAAATACAACTGTCTGAATGAAAGAAAACAATAGGACATAAAAGATAGACGAAGACTTCAAGGTCTGTGAACGCCGACAGATCTACCTTGAGTCTACGGACAGCGGACCAATAGTAAATCTCGACCAACCTGAGCCGGTATCAAAATATGCACAGAAAGTGCAGAGTACAGCATCAGTACAACCGACCCCATGTACTGGTAAGTGTCAAGCCTAACCTCGGCGAAGTAATGACGATTCTAGGACAAGACACCCACATATAACCTGAACAATATAATCATGCTAGTGACAACAACAGTAAATAAAGAAATAACATAGAAATAATGGGAAGGGAACATACAGTGGAGGAATACAACATAAAGAGTGAGAATAATGAAGAGACAGAATTAAACCGAAAATTCTTAAACGAATTGAGCAATTAAAACAGCAAGGAAAACTGCACGGCATCACCCTTAAAGTGAAAGGAATCAACGCAAAAAATAAAATTAAATAATGAATATTTTGGAATCATTCTGATTCTTTGGCACGAAGTAACAAGAACACAACAATTTGGCAGAACTAAAATGACCTTGCTACCATCTTTTTTATTCTTTTCTACATGATTATGAATTCAATCTTAAATTATCATTCAACCTCTCCAATCCCCGTTAATTATGTACGCTGACAATGAGTAAAAGTTATACAAAAAAATAAATACTACAAAATTAAAAATTGAATAAGCGTGGTGTACCATATTTTTCGGTATTACTAGGTGACAAATTAATTCTACAATTCCAATTTAATTTGTTTTGATTCTCTCGTGCACTCATAAAGATTAATAGTATCTGAAATAAAAGGAGTACCAAAATAAACAATAAAAGACAAGCTAAATATTACATTCATTCCCATCCATCTTTTGTTTCCTAGTTTATTTTGTTGTACTTTTATACATTATGATTTTCTTCCTCTTATCTTTGCAGTTGCAGAATATAATATTATACGATAGTATCAACATCATGATCTTATAAGTTATTAAAAATTGATATTAGCCAATGATGTAATATAAACTTAATCAGCATCAAGTGTCAACGTTAATCACATAGTACTATGGAGTATAATTTTATTATAGAGTTAGAACCACCAGCGTTATAGACTATAGTTAACTCAAGGAAGGTATCTATAATTGGCATTTAAAAGAGTAAGATTTTGCAGATTCAATTTAAATGTTCGATATCAAATATTTAATAGGTGATTTTTGTTAGCCATATTTGTCATAAATATGTAAGAAATTAGGGAGAAAATCACATATCTGTTAATTTATGGATAGAATGATTGTAAGAATCAATCGAATAAAAGCCAATCAATGCAAACATAAAATTACGGGAGTATGAAATGCTCGGTGATTCTTATATAAAGTGTGTTATTCTTGTAGGACCATTCACTATCCCAGTCCATAAAAAGAAATCAGGTACTTCATCTCTTCTTTCTTAAATTTCATCCTTGAAATGATGGATTATCATGTGCTATTTGCACAGAAGTCATAATTTTTCATTCCTCTTATTAGCTTTTATGTTTAATTTTATGCTATTATTTGTATCTAATAATATATTTAAAAATTATTATAGGATGAAGATTACAAGAATGCATCTAAGCGTTGTGCAGCTTTTGATTGCTATTATGCTTTTTCTCAACATTGATGAAGTTGAGGGCTTTTCAAAGAAGGACCATGAAGAATTGGAGAGGCAACTAAAGCTTTTAAATAAGCCATCAGTCAAAACTATTAATGTAGATTCTTATTCTTTGTTTTGGTCCAATCTCAAAATAATTGATCCATCTGTTTTATTTTCAATTATATATGTCACTTTTCATAGAGCTAAAAAAGATGTTACACATAAATATCTATACTTAAAATCAGTAACAAGCTCTATTGTTTTGTAGACCGAATATGAAGATATTTATGACTTTTTGAATTTCTATCTACAACCTGCATTTGATCATCCTTTACTAAAGAATTATACTTATCATCCTCAGGTATGTCTATTTGGTATATAGATACTTATTCACTATTACTGTAGTACTTGTATTGTGAAAGTAAGAATGACTTTCATTCTTGAAATTTTGTACATGATGCATGCAGATGAAACCGTCTTTCGCCCAGTTAAAGAGAGACAAAGAATCCGCAACATCCAATAGATCCTCCAAAATCGGGCCGAGAGATGGAGGTTGTCCAATGGGAATAGTTCCTATTAGAAGAACTACCAAAGAAGATCTCAATAGAGAAAGAAGATTTAATTCTATTTATGCTGGTGGCATCTTTCGCGTAAGCTGCTCCTTTATAAATTATTTTTGTTTATCCTAGTCTACTAAGATGGGAATTGAAATAATTATAAACAACAAATTAAACACCTTCCAAGTGGTAACTTCACTATTGTCATCACTTATCATCTTTACCGGAGCTCTTTCTATGATTATGGATTTGTGGTACATATGGACGTTAATCTCAATGCGGCTTGCCTTTATATTTGTTTCTATACCTCATTAAGAACTTGCAATTTGTTTCAAAAAAGAAATATTTTTATTATCAACCAATGTGAGCATATCTTGTTACTTATTCTGCTTTGAACATTTAATTTCGGGAGCTGGAACAACAAGTAGTATTTATAATCCAAATGTTCTTCCGAACCAGTGGAGTGCATCCGTCGTGAAGGTACAAAATGGCCTTCACCAAATACAAGTTGGGTGGCGTGTAAGTATTTTTATTAATTAACTTTGCTAAGTAAAATTCAATCCCCTTTTCTTGCTTTAATTCTATAGATAGGAGTATCAAAAGTTGACAATGAATGGTGTATTGATCTAGGTGGATCCAATTCTGTACGGTGATACTCGTACTCGATTTATTTCATTATTTAAAGTAAGTCTTTTTTTTTTTTGGTTTATTAAATATTAGTGAGTCATGCTTTAACAAAATATCTTTAATTACTCACGATTAGTTAAATTTGTTACATCATGGCACATGCAGGCACAACTCAATGCTTCAACACGTTATTTCTGACTTTCACACCTGAACAAATATTCGATCAGGCATTCTTCATACAAAGGGTTAGATAAATACCATACTGAAATTTCATCTCATTTGAAAAGTAATTAAGAGCATATATAATCATTTTTCATTACTACGTACAATGTATGAACATACATAATCTTTTGTGTCTCTCTCTCTCTATATATATATATATCCAACGCATGATCTGATGAATGGAAGATGGTGGCTACGTGTTGGTCGTGATTTCAAACAAATATGTTTATGGCCTCCAGAGCTTTTCATGGGATTAAAGAGTTTTGTATCACAGGCGTGGGGTGGAGAGGCATTTAGTTCAGTCCCTACTTTCCCTCCAATGGGTTCTGGTCATTTTCCTGGACGTGTAAATACTGATAAAGATGCATATTGTAGCAAAATTTCAATTCTGGATTTTGCTGGCAAAACTCAGGATTCCGGGGCTCTAGTATCCGAGTTTGAAGATGCTTACGCACTCTACCGGGTTCTTGATGAACCAATTACCAAATAAGGCTTTTGGGCATACGGTATACATACATATATATATATATATATAGTGTGTGTGTGTTTGTGTGTGTGTGTGTGTGTGTGTGTGTGTATGTATGTATGTGTGTGTGTGTGTATATATATATCCAACGTGGATCTGAAGAATGGAAGATGGTGGATGCATGTTGGTCGTGATTTCAAAAAAATAGGTTTCTGGCCTCCAAAGCTTTTCACGGAATTAAAGGGTTTTACATCACAGGTGGCATGTGGTGGAGAGGCATTTAGTTCAGTCCCTACTCTCCCTCTTATGGGTTCTGGTCATTTTCCTGGATGTGTAAATATTGATAAAGATGCATATTGTAGCAAAAATTTAATTCTAGATTTTGTTGGCAAGACTCATGATCCCGGGACTCTAGTGTCTGAGTTTGAAGATGCTCACGCACTCTACCGGGTTCTTGATGAACCAATTACCAATAAGGCTTTTGGGCATACGGTCTTTTTTGGGGGACCTGATTCTAACAAATAAATTAATGACAATGTACTATGTTTTTCTAGTTAAGCCTAGTATTAGAAAATGATTTCCACTTAACCTACCCTAGTTTGCATCATGGTCTCGGTTATAAATAAATGAAAAAAGTAAGTGTTGGTAGTACTTGTACTAGTGTTTTTTTTAATCTTTATTCCTTATGTATCTTTCGATGTGTTTCCTTGAAATGTAAAGGAAAGGCCATTGGATGCTTGATTTTCGAATTGATGTGGTGTACAGTCTCCAATATGAATGTTTTGAAGGATCCTTCACATTGTTAAATTTTGGGGTAAAACTAAATTCTCACGTCTGGTTAATGAGTTTGGACTCAGATAGACTAAGTGATTGCATAGTAATGGATTTGAGCAAAGTGGGTGACTCACGAGAAAAGTTCCAATGATTTGAGAATTATACATAGCAACTGAGAATGTTTTCGGACTTGTGTATGGATAAAATCTGAGATTTGTGTTTGATGTTGCCTGGACTTGCGAAAATTCTATATGACTATGGATTCTATATTTTCGTATAAGGAAGGTAAGAAGAATAATTTCAAATTCACATAAGGTATTCTCAGAGTGAGTGTTATAGTTGTGATATTTTTGAAGGTGCTTAAGAAGAATACAATTGCTTATGGGCCGTAGGGCGTTGTGGTTCTATGATAAGGTTTGTAGGGTAAGTTGTGGTTAAAGATCATGGTATTTTAGCAATAAAAAGTATCAATCAGAAGAAAAATTCGGAAGGGACTTGGAGAAAATAGGACAACTGGGTAGTAGGTTGGATCAGTATGGTAATGGATAAGATCGGTTCTTTGGGTGCATATGATGTGGGGGTTTTCTACAAGTACTTTGTGGAAATACACCTGGACTTGGCGACCTGCGTGGCTTGGTCGAGTTAGAGGAATTTAGTTTTAAGGGCTTGAAGAGAAGGTAACGAATGTTGGACAACATGGACGTTTTTAAATAACTAGATGAATACTATTACTACTTGGTGTTGTATGAGAAAGGGGCAGACTTCAGAAGGCGCATTGTATTTTGACTTACAGATGTATAAATTAGTATTGCGGTACTCATATGGTTGATAGACTGTTGATATTCAAATTTTATCAAGTGGTACGGAAGAACTTTTAAAGTATTTCTCGTGGGATGATCGTGTATGAGGGAGGTATTAGGCATACGGGCACTGGAGATGGAATCAAATATGATGATTCGCGTGTTCTATGGATTTGGAGATTGGGAGTTCCCAGGAGCAGATTGTTTCATGGTTGTAGACTGTGCAGTTGTAGCCGGAGCTAGCCAGATGATGAAATGTGTTATTATTCAGTCATTATGGATTTTCGGAGGGATTTTTATCTATTTGTGAGTAACTCGAGTTGATTTGGGGGTCCATAGGTAGGCCCAATTAAGATGTGTATTCTACACCGAGCCGGAATGGTTGGTTCCATACTGCTATTATTGAGGGATGTGTCATTCGGTTGATGTTGAACTTATTCGTGTTCTCAAATGGTCTGTGAGTTACTCCTTTATGCTACGAGGAGTTGTGATTCATTGGTTATGTGCGCAGATGGTGCGGTTCTATTTGAGCTTTATAGTGGAATTTGAGTGTGATGAGTACTTGGGTATTGCATGATCGATAGCGTAATGGTTATGTCCTTTCAGGTTTTGTGTGGTATTTTTGTCATTTTCCTCTCCGTCGTTATTAATTTGGAGCAGGGTGGCTTGGAGTATATAACATGAACCTCGTATTAGAATCGGGTGATGGTTCTACGGTGTATGATGAATTTTCAGCATTTCGTTGTGGAGGTACTTGTTAATCTGGCAGGGCAGTTCTCTCATTTGAGTCATTTTCCATGACTGGGTACATTCGAATTGTTGCGTATTGGTGCACGGATGGCACGAGTTGTGGCTCTGAGTTATATTGGTGAGGCATGTCTCTGGAACAGTTGTGTTTAGTAATATAAGGTCATTGGACCTAGAATGGGTACTATCAGGTTTGATTTCAGTATATTCGGGAGTATAATATTGAAAGTCGACTTAGAAAGGCATTATGGTTCTGGTTGGGGCGAGAAGGCTCCATGACTTGTTGATCTGGTAAGTGGTCATGAAATTTTGCGTGTTTCTTTTATTATCAACAATGTACGAAGGATTTGGAATGAGGTTTGGTTCGATATGGGTTTAATACTTGTATGCGGTTGGTTTTGGAGTAGTCACTACGATCAGGAATGGTGCTACGAGCATGCGAGTTGTGTAATATGTTGGTTTATTATATCTGTGGTTATAGTTATAGCTCGATGCAACTTGTTTGGACTTATACGATGTGTAAATGTAAGATTTGTGTCTTGAAAGAAATTTTAAAGGTTGGAAATTAAATTCCAAGGTTTATGGGCTAAGGTTAAATTAATGATTTTCAGTTGCATTTTGTAGTCAAGCCTGTATGGGATAGGGTCACATGGGTTCACCCCCGGGTACGTGTGTGGTAAGATGAAACAATGGTTTGATGGCTAGGAAACAACTCTTAGCACGTTCGAGGACGAACGTATGTTTACGTGGGGGAGAATGTAACGACCCGACCGGTCATTTTGAGTATTACAACCCAATTTCCCCATTTACTGCTCAAATTGTACTTTACAGTTATTGTGTGAATTGCCGGGGTAATTGGTTCTGGTCCAGTGAGATTTTGGAATGAATTGAAACACTTAGTTCCAAGGTTTAAAGCTTAAGTTAAAATAGTGACAGGATGTGGACTTATGTGTAAACGATCTCGGATTCGAATTTTGATGATTCCAATAGCTCTGTATGGTGATTTTGGACCTAGGAGCATGTCTGGAAAATTATTTGGAAGTCCGTAGTGGAATTAGGCTTGAAATGCTGAAAGATGAATTTTTGGAAAGTTTGACCGGGGGTTGACTTTCTGATATCGAGGTCGAAATCCGATTCTGGAAATTTGGATAGGTCCGTAATGTGAAATGTGACTTGTGTGCAAAATTTGAGGTCAATCGGACGTGATTTGATACGTTTCGACGTCGTTTGTAGAATTTGGAGATTTGGAAATTTATTTGGCTTGAATGCGTGTGTAATTCGTATTTTTGAGGTTGTTAGGTATGATTTGAGGCCTCGGGTAGGTCCGTGTTATGTTATGGAACTAGTTGGTATTTTTGGACGGGGACCCAAGGGCCTCGGGTGAGTTTCGGATGGTTAACGGATTGACTTTTGAATTTGGAAGACTGCTAGAACTGAAGCCTTCTGGTGCAATCGCACCTGTAGAAAAGTAGTCGCAGGTGCGAGCTCGCAATTGCGAGCAGGGGTGTACTGAAGTGAGATGCGCATGTGCGGAAGGTGCTTCGTAGGTGCGGAATCGCACCTGCGCGAGAAGGCGCGTAGATGCGGGTAGAGGGCTGTGAGGCATTGGTCTCAGGTGCGAGGGTATATTCCGCACCTGCGTGAGCGCAGATGCGGACGGATGCGCGCAAAAGAGGAAACTGGGCAGGCGAGTGGAGTCCGCAAATGCGACGTTTTTCTCGCACAAGAGGATGCGCAGGTGCGTAAATCTTGTCCACAGATGCAGAAATCACTGGGGCAGAACCTTAAATTCAAGAGTTCGACATTTTCACACATTTTTCGGATTTTAGAGCTCGGGTTGGGCGATTTTGGAGAGGAAAATTTCCACACAAGTTGGGGTAAGTGTTTTTAACTGCCTTGTGATTATATTCCATGAATTAATCTTCATTTGTGGTGTAAGATTATTGAATCTTCAAGAGAAATAGAAAGAAATTTCTATAATGTCACAAAATGAAGTTTTCAAGTTTGAATACCGATTTGGAGTCGGATTTGAGTGAAATTAGTATGGTTGAACTTGTAATTGGATGGGTTGTCGTATTTTGTGAGTTTCGTCGGATTTCGAGGCATGGCCCCCACGGGTGATATTTGGGGCGTAATTTCGGATTTTATGGAAAATATTAGCATTTTGATATGAAATTAATTCTTATAAATTGTGTGGCCTGAGTCAAATTATTGTGACTAGATTCGAGCCATTTGGAAGTTGATTCACGCATAATGGAATTTGTGGAGCATTGCTTTAGCTTGCTCGACATTAGATTTGGCTTGTTCGAGGTACGTATCTCTTCTAATCTTGGAGTTGAGGGTATGAACCCTCAATATATGTATTTTGTGAATTGTTGGGAGGTGACGCACATGCTATGCGACGGGCGTGTGGGCGTGCACTATAAAAACTGTGACATAATTGGTTCTGTGGGATTTTGTAGTTAAATAATATTGGCATTCTCCATGAGGTTTTATGTGTTAAAGAAACTGAGCTAAAAAGTATATTAAAAATTATGTCGAGGCTATGTGCCAGTATTTGGGGACCAACGGAGGTCATATTGTTATGAACTATTTATTTTAAATTGAAATTCATATTCAGTCATACTCATTTCATTACATATCATATCTCAGTCTCTGTTGTTATTCATTGATACTTCATATCATCATTTTGGGCTATTTTCATGACATTGTGAGCTTGAGAGACTGGAGAGATTGATGACTGAGTAAGGCCGAGTGCCGGATTGTGAGGATTATTATGGGATCGGGCTGCACACCACAGCAGGCCATGTTGGATTTATATATGTTATTACTATTATATGGATCGGGGCTGCCCGTATGCAGCAGACCTCATTGGCTTATTATGGCACGTGAGTTGTTCGTGGGGATTCTGATATGATAATATAGCACATGAGCTGTTAGTGCGGATTCTAATATGATAATATAGCACGCGAGTTGTCCGTGTAGATTATAGCGCTTGGGCTGAAGGAGCCCCTCCAGAGTCTGTACACACCCCTAGTGAGCGCAAGTACCTACTGAGTGCGAGTGCCGAG